TGACAAAAACTGACATGATGCTGTATATTAATGACAAAAACTGACATGATGATATGTATTAAAGACAAAAACTGACATGATGCTGCATATTAATGGAAAAAAAAACCTGGACCCAAGCATTTGAATCAGTTATTTTACTTTTATGAGATGACAAGTTATAATTTAAAATATTTCATCACCCGCTGTTCTAGCAATGTGCAAATGTTATTTTCTGACTGGATTGCCAGGGCACAAATTGATTGAAACCATTATGTTTGCAGTCATATAAGAAAGAAGCAAAAATACTCATGTTATTATAAAATTATTAATTTTTTTAATACACAATTGGAGTAAAATTACAGAGGAAATGATAAGGTAAATATTTTGAATCATTATTACTGGAACCACATATCAGATACCATACGATATCATTATGTAACTCTTTTTAATGATGTTTATGGCAGTCATGAATGTGACCAACATTATAAGGAGTATACTTTATAATGGGGTATATTCCAACAATGTGTCATAATAAATAAAAACCAATACTGAATGAGGGAAGACACATAAGCAGTTCTCATATTAGCCAGTTTCACAAGAACCATACTAGCGTTATACAAGGGGCAGCTTAGTGAAGGGTTTATAGTGAGGGAAGTCCTGCAGACTAATTAAGTTAAATTACGTAAATGATGACAAAAAAAGATTTTGGGATGCTTTTTGATATTTGGGCAGGAGAAAAAATGTTTTGTAATTTAAGGAAATTGATTGTGTACTTTTGTTAGCCTATATATATATATATATATATATATATATATATATATATATATATATATATATATATATATATATATATAAAACTATCAAATAGTATGTATTTTTACAGACATAAAATTTTGTGATTTAGTTCTAAAAGACATAACTTAAATTTTTATCAGCTGTAGTTAAAAGGACATTTCAATATATATACCGACAATTTTTTGAGAGGATTATTTTAGGACATCATTCTATGGACCACTAAAATGTATGTGCAGTAAAAAATACCACTATAAAGTAGCAGCATAAACTGATGAGAAAATTTACCCAACAGACATTTTACCACCCCTATCAGACAATTTAATGACCCTATCAGACAATGTACAACCCTTATCAGACAATGTACAACCCCTATCAAACAAATCTATCAGACATGTACAAACCCTATCAGACAATTTACAACCCCTATCAGACAATGTACAACCCTATCAGACATGTACAAACCCTATCAGACAATTTACAACCCTATCCACAATGTACAACCCTATCAGACATGTACAACCCTATCAGACAATGTACAAACCCTATCAGACATGTACAAACCCTATCAGACAATTTACAACCCCTATCAGACAATGTACAACCCTATCAGACAATGTACAAACCCTATCAGACATGTACAACCCTATCAGACAATGTACAAACCCTATCAGACAATTTACCAGTCCTTTATATGACTAATAATCAGAATTGATTTTACATTTTTTGTTCTTTTAGCACTATCAGCAATTCTTAATTGACTGCTCCACTATGACAAGTCATTGTTCCAATAATTGCATACTGTTACACTTGAAGGACTCTTGAGGAAGCCCATCTTAATATTAGTATCCCATCATGCAACTGAAGAGTTCTTTATAGTTCTGTCAATAAGTACATAATATTAAATATTGCTTTGATATATAGTGTATGAAAGTGCTATATTGAATTTTATCTCATGCATCTATATGCAACTGTGCAATAATAAACTTATTCATCACAGGGACCATATCTTCAGACCGTTTACTACAGATAAATGGATCAATACAAAGATCAAATCTTGCAAACTGCCATAACAGGAATAAAGACAGAGCAGATATTAATAAAGAATTTTTCTTTAACACATTTAAACAGTAATTATTATTATTATTAATTTATTATTATTAATATTGTAGTTGTTGTTATTGGGTTTAATGCCATTTTTCAGCACAAGATAGGCTATACATAGCAGCCAGTATCAATAGTTGATTGAGGAAGAAACCAGGAAAACCCCAGAAAGAACTAATGACCATGAGAAGCTACTGGCAAACTTTCTCAAATACCCTTATTGGCTGAGTCTAAGACTCTAACCCATGCAGACATAGATGAGATGGCAGTGATCCATAATGGTAGGCACTTTAGAATGACCAACATAGACCCTCATCTATAGGCAGATCAGGATCATTGTATGTTGCAGTTTGCCTGGACTTATAAGTGAATACATATGGAAATAATAATTTTTTGCCATTTAGTAGCCATTTTCCAAATGGATTATAAAGTAGGTAGCGAAAATATGCCACCAGCTGTTTCACATTTCATTCAAACTGTGGTGTAGTACTTCCACACAAGCAAAAATTAAAACTTAAGTTAAAGATTGCAAGAAAAGTCAATTACTTGTGCATTTGTGTTAATGATTTTGGCTAAAATTGCTGTAAATAACCACTGACAGCATAGTGAATAAAAACACATTTTGTACTCATGTACAATCACATTAGAATTATTTCTTATTAGCTAATAATAAAATTATATTAAAGAAATCGAGAAGTAATGATAAAACCAAATTTACCCAATTTGATGGGATCAAGGATCATACCTGTATTATAAGTGGGGCAGCAGTATACTGAGGAGATTTATGGTGAGGGGTCATTGCAATTACTATTTAATAATGTAATGGGATTCATGACCATCCCCACATCCTAAGAATTGTAGCAGTATATTGAGAGGATTTCTATTGAGGGACCATTGTCATACTATTTGGTAATGTCATGGTATCCATCACCATCACCACATCATAATAATGGTAGCAGTATACTGAGGGGATTTATAGTAAGGGGTAATTGTAATACAAATGAACAATGTAATGTAATGTATTGGGATCAAGGACCATACCCACATAAATGGGGCAATAGTATACTGAGGTAATTTAAAGTAAGGGAATATTGTACTATTGTACACTGAGGGAGTAATAGTGAGTGGTCATTTAATACTATTGAATAATGTAATGGGATCCATGACCATTTCCACATTATAAAAATCACAGCAATATTCTGAGGAGAATGTACTATTCCTGAATAATATAATGGGATCAAGGACCATACCTGCAACATAAGAGCAGTAGTGATATACAGAGGTGATTTATAGTGAGGGACCAATGTAATACTATTGAATAATGTAATGGGATCCATGACCATTATCATACTATAAAAATGGTAGCAGCATACTAATCGGATTTCTATTAAGGGGATTTGTACTACTACTGAACAATATAGTGGGATCAAGGACCATACCTGCAATACCAGAGCAGCAGTGGGGTCACTGTTGTACTATTTAATAATGTAAAGGGATCCATGATGATGTCTTATAAAATTGGACTGTGTTATAAGAAGGTACCAAATGGTGATGGACCACTGCAAAATGGAATCAATTTGGAAAATAAACAATATTTGCATGAACTTTTGAATTTAATGAACAAAATTCTTGATCACTTACTTAATGAATACCTGTGACTCTCTTTTCTTAAAGAAACTTTTTTAAGTAAGCAAAGTTATAAAAAAGGATTCTATTATGCATTCCATGTTTTCTAGGATGTAACAGAGAACCTTGCTCGAAATTATGACAGTTGGGGTCTACGGGGTGTCATTGTGCTATGTAATGTATAGAGTAATAGCATGTTAGTTAGCTCAAGAAAATGATCCAATCTGGTCAGGTACAGAACTAGGCACAAGCTCATGTTTCAATAACAAGTCAATGGTGATATCTGGGTACTGTTCACATTTATAACTGATGGCAGTTGAAAGTTTTACAACCACAGCCTTTGCAGACATTTATTCCAATAACACACTATGTTTTGGGATAACAGACATATTATATGACATTCGTTTTTTTTTTTACTTTAGTATGGAAATATAGCTTTGACAACCATTCTAGGAAAATGGTTCTAGTAGATATGTATTTTTAGAACAGCCTGGTAGCAAGATTATAGGAGAACAACCCTGGCAGCCATTAGAATAACAACAATGTTTTTGAACAAAAACAGACAGCCCAGATGGAAGCATTTCTGTTTAAAATGACAAAAACCCTTGCAACCACATTTTTATTACAGCAGACACTGCAGTGAAGATTGAAAGTCAACAGCAGCATTTTTTTCTTGAAAGAGCCACTAACAAAACAGTTATGTAAAAACATCTCTACATCGATGTTTCAGGGCGAAAGACTAGACTTCTACAATTTCAGGACAACAGTTCCTGCAGCCATGTTTAAAAAAATAAATAGCAGTCATGGCAGCCAAAGATATTAAAAGCAATTCCTTTACAAGTATGAGCTTTCCTAAAAAGCCTGCCATCTTTAATCTGAACTGGGTGCCATTAGAAACCCAGGGGTTATTATACGGAAGCTTTCAAGATTCTCATTACTTGCGTTACAGAGTCATAAAAAACAATATGTCTCTGATTGTCATGACAACAGAATCTACAATATCGTGTGAGTTTAATGAAAAGATGGAGAGCAATGAGAGAGCATCAAGTATGCATTTACCCACTGTGTATATAACACTTGAGGTGAAAGCTGCTCACTAAATAGTCTATGATTGCAAAAACTGACTGCAAATGCACATTGAAAAGTTTAATATTATCAATATGGGCTTACTTACTTAATGATACTAGTTCCACCATACTGACATGTAATCTTTGCCTAAGGTAGCATTAAACATTTTTTTGTAAGATTTGCCATGGAGTAGACTGTGGTATTGGCAACACACTATTGTCCAGTACTACAGCTCTAACAGCCATTTGAAGGTAACAGGGTTTAACTTAAGACTAAGTGACACATTTATTCATCATGAGGTTGTACCCTACTTCCAAGCTTTGCAACATCAATAACATTTAAAATACAGTGACACATTTATAAATCATGAGGTTGTACCCTGCTTCCAAGCCAATAACATTTAAAATATACCAAAGTGGGTAACAGCTAAAGTGGCCTAGTGGTTAGAGCATTCGCCTTGGATGTGGGGGGTCATGGGTTCAATCCCCGGTCGAATCATACCAAAGACATACAAAAATGGTACTAACAGCTGCCTTGCTTAATGCTCATCATTAAGAGGTTAGTGTTAGGACTGTTCGGCCTGGTGTCAGGATAATGTGACTGGATGAGACATCATGCTACATCATGTCTGCAGCATGATTCTTCAGAGCTAGACATCACTATAAACTGCCACACTGCAGACATCATAGTGATATGACTGAAAAATTGTTAAAGCTATGTTAAAAATTATAAACACCACCAAAGTGGGTGGTATTACAAAAACAGACAGATGTAGCTATAACATGATACAAGATATTCTGGACTTTCTAATCGCATTACAAAATACTGAGGTAAAAACAATTTTTGAGACCCAATTTATATACCACAAATTTGCCAGTTTGTGAAACCCGGATTTTGTGTCTAGAGATTTTACTTTTTGACCACCCTGATTGGCACACTGACAGTTCAACCTTTACAAAAGTAGGATAAGTTTGAGATATGAATTAAAAACTGGCTAGGACATAAAAATGCAAGGTCCATTAAACAAACAAATAAGAACTCCAACTTTTACCCATCTGCAAGTGAAATAAAAAATTAATTAAAGCCAATTAAAAAAATGACATTTCTAACACAATTAGGCATCTGGCCAAATGAAACTATATTGGAAGCATATATATTTGGAATCTTCAGAAGTAACCCCAAAAATGCATTTCCTACTCAAATTTCAGGTAAAAATGACACAAATCTCCAGGCCGTAATGACTTTGTATTAAAACATTCATGGCAGTCATGCAAAGGAAAATTACCTTGGCAGCCTTCAGTTCTTGGCATTTATTTCGATAACAACTCAACAAATACTGGCCTGCATAAAAAAATCGGCCTTTGCAGCCATGTTTATGCCTAATAAAAATAACTTTTAACTGACATTGTTTTTCAATTCTTGTAACAATATTATTAAGATAAGAATCATAAGAACAGGTTGAAACTATCTAAATTCCACTTGCCCAGTTGGGCAATTACAATTTGTTTTTAGCCCATCCCAAATAAACTCTTACTGGTCCAGCTATTATAGCAAGAAAAGTTAATGTTAATGACATATACAGAAATTATGGGAAGGTTTCTTGTAAGTACTTATTCTGTGATCTTCTAACATCAATTTTAAATAATAATATACTGAGACCAGTCTGCTCTGCCTCTGGTATGGGTTAATTAGTCTAGTGTGGCCTATGGGTTAATGCCATTTTTCAGCACATAATAGGCTATAAATGTTTACCAGTATATTTTATTTTGAAGGAGTAGAAGGCAGGAAGAACCTGGAAAGAACCAATGACCTCAGGGAAACTAATGAGAAGCTCTCTCACATGTTAACTGTGATGAGACTTGAACTCATGCAGACAGAGACGAGATGTGAGTAATCTAAATGTAAGCACCTTAGACCACCTGATCCACCGGGCCTGCTGAGTTTATTAGTATTGAAGAGTAAGAGTGAAATGCTTGTATAAGTGTGATCAAAACAAACTGGAATCAAACTTGTGAAAGAAAATATGAAAAAGGACAATGTCAGCAATATTCTCAACAAAGAGAAACACTGGTCAGCTCTGAACATGCACTCATTTGACTGGGCAAAGAGACAAACACTGGTCAATTCTGAATATGCACTCTCCTGATAGGTCAAAGAGATAAATATTGGTCAGCTCAGAACATATGCTCAACAGATCAGACAATTGATTTCACTGAACCACCAGAAATTTTCATTCATCATTTTGAACTGAACAAATGAGTTTTCAAAAAAAAGGTAACTTGTTTAACAACAATCCTTGAAAAGTATGTTTTCTGACAACAACCTTTGAAGGTGTGCCTTTGAATAATGACCCCAGCAGTCACAACAGTCACATTACAAAAACCTCCATACTTAGCAATCACATTTTCAGGCACAACAGACAGTCATGTTATCAAAGTCTGGATACTCAGAAATCATATTTTCGAGCACAACAGTCATGTTATCAAATCCTGGATACTCAGAAATCATATTTTCAGGCACAACAGTCATGTTATCAAAGCCTGGATACTCAGAAATCATATTTTCAGGCACAACAGTCATGTTATCAAAGCCTGGATACTTATAAATCATATTTTCAGGCACAACAGTCATGTTATCAAAGCTTGCATACTTAGTAATCATAATTTTAGTACCACATTGATTAGGGGGAAATGAAAAAACTCAATAAAATCAATCATTGAAAAATAACCTATCAACAGCAAAATTACTGCATATTCAAATGTAACATACCGCACAAAACCAATGCATTTTGAAACCCATTCACTCAATCAGTCTATATTCATCTCAAGGGAACTTTGGGTTAATAAAAGTCTTGAGCCCAAAATCTAAAGAGAAAAATAAATCCTCCACTGATTATTCTCACTACAGGTCTACAGGGACAGGAAATCCATCTTAATAACTGATTGCTGAGAATGATTTTAAAAATTTACAAATTACCTGAGATCAATATGCATGCAGACTAACAAACATTTTCTATAAAATTGAGGTTGATGTTTTACTGATATTCCAGATATTAATTCAAACATTTTATCTCAAACATTAAAATGTCATACATGCTGGCATAGTGCAGTTAAAATGATATGAATCTATGACATTTATAACAATCTGACAGTTCATTACTGTATTTTTTCCAAGTACAGTGTATTTAGATTGGTCAAAATTACTTCACATGATGCAGAAAACTATTATAAATTTTTAGCTCATAACACCAGAAAGGAACAAAATATGTATTTGTGCATCTTTCTGGTGTGCTTATACAATATTTGCAAACAATATTAGAATATCTGTATTATTTATTTAGTGTCATTTTTTGGAACTACAATATGTGTGTTTGTTAAATTTCAATTTGTACAAGATTCATGAAGGTACTAAGTTTGAAAATTGATTACACACTACATTAATGACTTTCATTGATGCAACATAATTGATTTTCAAGCTTGATGATTTCATGAACTCTATAAAATATGAAGTTGAATTTTTATATCAGATTTATACAGATCAGAAGCAATCCAGATGTCCCAAAGACATGCAAACTTAGCATTCTTGTTGCACTGGAATTTTGAATATACAATAATACACTGATAGCTGTGGCAGAGAAAAATGGAGATCAAAAACTGGTCAAATCTAGTACTGTGACAGAACAATATGGCCAGGGCAATAACAACAATAATAATAGGAGTTTTACTGTATTTAATATTTTGTTTGTTTTACAACTTTTAGATACTGTCTCAATATACCTTTTTAGAACTGTTTTCACTTCTATTTAGCAAGTATTGTACTGACATGCTGTTAAACATACATACATACATACATACATACATACATACATACATACATACATACATACATACATACATACATACATACATACATACATACATACATACATACATACATACATACATACATACATACATACATACACACACACACACACACACACACACACACACACACACACACACACATACATACATACATACATACATACATACATACATACATACATACATACATACATACATACATACATACATACATACATACATACATACATACATACATATATACTTACATACATACAGGAAGACAGACAGACAGACAGATAGACATACATACATACTTACATACATACATACATACATACATACATACATACATACATACATACATACATACATACATACATACATACATACATACTTACATACATACATACATACATACATACATACATACATACATACATACATACATACATACATACATACATACATACATACATACATACATACATACATACATACATACATACATACATACATACATACATACACACACACACACACACACACACACACACACACACACACACACATACATACATACATACATACATACATACATACATACATACATACATACATACATACATACATACATACATACATACATACATACATACATACATACATACATACATACATACATACATACATACATACATACATACTTACATACATACATACATACATACATACATACATACATACATACATACATACATACATACATACATACATACATACATACATACATACATACATACATACATACATACTAGCATACATACATACATACATACATACATACATACATACATACATACATACATACATACATACATACATACATACATACATACATACATACATACATACATACATACAGACAGACAGACAGACATACAGACAGACATACATACATACATACATACATACATACATACATACATACATACATACATACATACATACATACATACATACATACATACAGGAACACAGGAACACAGGAAGACATGAAGACAGATAGGAAGACAGACAGGAAGACAGACAGACAGATAGACAGACAGACATGCATACATACATATATATATATATATACATACATACATACATACATACATACATACATACATACATACATACATACATACATACATACATACATACATACATACATACATACAACATACATACAGACATGCAGACATACATACATACAGACATGCAGACATACATACATACATACATACATACATACATACATACATACATACATACATACATACATACATACATACATACATACATACATACATACATACATACATACATACATACATACAGACAGACAGACAGACAGACAGACATATACACACACATACACACATACATACATACATACATACATACATACATACATACATACATACATACATACATACATACATACATACATACATACATACATACATACATACATACATACATACATACATACATACATACATACTTTTGAAAAAGACCTTTCCATCTGAAGGTTACTGAAGTTCTATTTTTTCATCCAGAAGAACTCACTTGGAAGTCTGAGACGATTCCACATGGTATCTAGGG